ATTGGACTGCAAATTTTTGACAGCTTTTTTGTCACAGTTTTGCATTGATTCACGCAAGAACACAAGAAATTATAGGTTAAAAATTTGTTGTGCACTTCAATTGAATGGGAAAAAATGAGGACAAAACAAATCCAATGGCACTGAGAGCAACACATAAATCGCAATTTGGATCCAACCTGGATCAGGATTAGTGTTTCCTTCGAGAATTTCTGGGGGTGTGTACTGCACGTTGACTTTATCTGCACTGACTACTTGTATCTGCAAATTCAGATCAATTTTACTTTAGGCTCTCACACAAATCACTATCACACTCATACGTCGTGATATCTCCTTCTATTGCACTCAATGTTCAAATGAAACCATTCTCAAAATTTATGAATTTCTTGGCCAACGAATAAAGATATTGACGATCTGATTGAACGGAATGAAGCATAGGTAAATTTCTTCATTTGAAAATTATGTTTTGGAAAAATCAAAAAAAAAAAGATGAGAAAAGTTCTGATTTCTGACGAGGCTGGTGCTGAAAACGTCGTCAAGAAAATATTGCTAATAGTAAGAGCAGAAATGTGATTTTGAAACTGCAATCATTTGAATAAACCAAATAACAGTGCAAAACTGAGTGCTCAATGATTGAAACCAATGGGATCGACGAACCTCTAAATCGCCCAACATATGTACAAAAACGTAGTCCGGCGTGAAAAGTCCTGAGGGTGTTTTGGCGAGTTGTTCACAAGCGATTATGATCAACGCCAGCAGTTCGTCGTCGTTCAGACGACAACCACGCACCTCGATGATCTCCGATATTGAGACGCCTACATCCCCCATTGTACCCCTAAAAATGCACCTTTTTACGATGGCAATTTCTCGCACAACATCACTTTTCGAGAATGTTTGCTGGTTGGTTCACTTTAGAGCATTTCTTTGCGAAATGAAAAAGGTTACATTCCAAACGATCACGAGCAATAATTACACCGCATTCGCACATCATAACATTTGTAATCAGCCGAGATATTTTTCCAACAAAAAATCTTGCAAAGCATCTGCAAAACGAGAAGAATACGCACGTAGTTGTAAAAAAAGAAAAATGCTCAGCAGAAAAAAAAACAACGAAATTATGATTGCAACAAAATGGAATAATTGTGACACGACGGAATTC